AAAAGGGGGGAGAAGAAATGGAGAGATGTTAATATGGAAAAGCCAGAAATGGAGCCCAGAGCTCTTGGTTTCTACCTCACAGAACTTATTTTGTACAAAATAAAACTTGCAATAGAATAAATATATTTTTAATTTATTTCTTAAACATCTCTAGTCTATAGACTGGTGAGTGTTGTTGAGTGCTGAAGGCTGGAATGCCATTGCCTCTGCAACACTGTTCAAGCTGCTCAGTGTTTCTGTTCTTGGTGCTCCAGTGTTATCAGCACTAGCAGATAATGCAGCCTGCTAATTTAGCAGACCTTTATGTTACTCATAAAGAAAGACCACAGGCATGGTTTGGTGATAAAGGCACTTGGCCAGGTTTATTGCCTTCAAGGCACAGTCCTAGTGCCCTGGTTCCATGGTTACAGGTAAACTAACACATGATTTACCAGTGGCAAGGAGTGGCTCAGTCAGCAGCAGAAGTTTCTGCTGTCCCCTAGGCCACACAAAGGGTTAAGGTGAGGTACCCCAACATTTACAGACTGAAACAAACAACTGAGACTCATAATGTGCGTACCACCTTACGTGTTTCATGACATTTGTGTGTTACCTTCCCTTGTTTCCAATATATTGGACACAACATCCCTATTCATTGTTCTGTCAAACCATCTTATCTTGTACTAAATCGGGGTGTATCTGTACTAGCTTTGAAATATATTTACATATTTAATGCCTAATATGCTAGCAACAACTTTGCCAAGTTCATATACTGGACAGTGAATCTTTAAGAATTTGCTTTAATACATGACCTGACTTTCGTTTACAGCCTTTGGCTTAGGCCTTAGATCTTGCACCAGGCCCAGTGCTTCAGACTCCCTCCCTCTACTACAAGATGATACTTCATACTCTCCAAGACTGACAAAGCAATGCTTCAATAAGATGCCTGTATCAATTGTGCACTTGTACACTGGGAGACTATATATTGTGTAATATGTGAGTTAAGAGTAAAAGTTTCAATTTCAGCTCTGAGTGTTTGTGCTTTTGTAATATTTACATTACACCATTAAAGAGGAACAGATGAAGTGTAGTGGGGGAAGGAGGTAATACCCTTGCAACTTAATAACCTGCCAATATAGTGTTATTATTGTTGAGAAAGTTTTACTTTGATGGAAAATGGCAACCAGTTCCAATAAGGTATGGGAGTCAATATGTGAGGGAATAGCATAACATTGCTTATTCTTTTATGTAAAATGTAGGCACTAGTACAAAAGGAAGCAGGAATATAGGAGAGTATATTTAGGGCAAATTCAGAGATAAGTTTAGAGGGACTCTAAGTTGGTTAAAACTTATGCCTTTTTTTGGCACCCTTCATGTATTTTCATAGCAGCTTAGAGTCCCTGGGGGGCCACCAAACCCCAATTCCATCTGCACACATCTCTCAGACTCAGGCTTGGACCTAGGATCCTACGATCCTGTGGAGGTGAAGGGTCTGAGACCATATCAAGCCAGGAGTCAGGGTCCAAGCCCTATTGCTGTGCAGTGTAGATGGAGTCCTGCTTGACTCAGGTGCTGAGAGTCCACCAAAACTATCTTACAATACCATGGGCCAACTTCCTTTGTCCTCTCTATCCCAACAATCTCCAATCAACTCAAGTAAAAACAGCATTAACCCTTCCATTGTCTTCTGACCACTGAGCTGCAAACACACCATCAGAGAGCCTTCTGTGTTTGCAATGGAGACTGAGCAGAACAAGTATCAGAGGGGTAGCCGTGTTAGTCTGAATCTGTAAAAAGCAACAGAGGGTCCTGTGGCACCTTTAAGACTAAAGGTCTGAGCAGAACAAGCCTTTTACAAAGCGTGCTGTTTCATGGTCATGGGACCACAGCCAGATTTTGGTGACTCTCTGGTCTGAGGATAGCACAACTGTGGCCTTTAGTAAAAGTACCAGGAATGATCATGCATACCAGCAGATAGTGAAGGAGCTGGCAACTTTGCACATTTACTAGACTGGTAACCAGTACAGGGAGTGGATTAAGCAGCTCAAGAGCGAGTACTGGAAGACCAGGGATCAGAACCACACCTCAGGCAACTCACCAAAAACCTGCTCATTTTATGAGAAGTTTGACCGGGTGCTGGGCACTGCACCCACCACAGAGCCAATTATGGTGCATGATGACCTGGTCAGCCAGGATGGTGCCCTGCTGGCCCCAGAATCCAGCCTGGGGACTAACGGGAGTCAGCAGCAGGCACCAACTGAGGACCAGGAAGTCATTCTGTTGCTGAAACTGATCCCAGAGCAGGCTTTGGAACAGGATCAGCAGCAAATTCTGGGTCCAGACTCGGAGGAGCTGTTTGATATTCCCACAGGGAACCTCCCGCTGATGAGTCTGCAGCAGACACGGAAGGGACAGAAGCCATCCCTGATCCCAGTAAGATCCTGGCTCCAATTTAATGTTAATTGCTACACTAATGGGAGATATTTCTACTCTAAGAACCAATGCAAAAGTTATGAGAAACATGCTGCTAGCCCGGGCATCTGCTAATGGCTAGTGCCTTGTTGTCCTCCTTTTCCCCCGCCCCCACCACATGGACTTCGAAAGGGTGCCTGGGAAGCGCAAACAGTAAAGTACACCTTTAAAGAGTATTTTTTACTGGAAATACACAGATTTTTGCAAGGGCCATTCCTGTTTCTTAAAAGTAATAACATCACATTGCCATGCATTTAAGCTTGCTGCTCTAATCCTCAACAGTCTATGGAGCTGCCTGGAAACAGTAAACTGTGTGCATGTGTTTGGGGAAATGTTTTCCATTTCCAGAACTAGTCCATTTCAATTAGACCCATAGTCCATGCCAACCACAGGTGACAAAATCCTGTGTCCCAAATATGACTGTGGTTTGAATTTTAACCAGAAATGTGCTGGCTGCAGGGTGGAGGAAGGATGCGGAGTTCTGCGTGTTTGCATGCAGCCATAACAGGGTAAGCCAGGTGGTAGCCAATGCAGCATCCTGTTGATTCCTTCATGAATTCTGACCCAATCCTGGGGGCTGATAGCTGCAAACTTTTCCTGAAGCAGGAACTCCAGATAGCTAGTCACACTGTGGACAAGGGTATATTTTCCATGGCCACCTCACATTAACATTCTTTTAGGCCCACTATCTGGGGTAAACCACATGCCTGATTGCCTCAGAAACCTCTGCCCCCACTTTACCCACAATTGACTTCCCAACACAAAATTGGTTGGCAATGAACCTATAGCACTCTCAGCCGGCCAGCTTCCAGATGGCTGTAGCAACCCGCTTCTGGACCGGGAAGGGAGGCCTCATGCCTGTATCTTTACACTGAAGGCTTAGGGCAAGCTGCTCACAAAGCTCCAGAAATGTAGCTTTCTTCATGCAAAAGTTCTGGACCCACTGCTGGTCATCCCAGGTCTGCATGACAATGTGATCCCACCAGTCTGTGCTTGTGACCCTGTGCCAGAAGCGCTGGTCTAAGCAGCAAGCATCAGTGGCTACCGAGGGTACTGAGCAGCATCAGCCAGTGCTAGTCTGCCATGCCATACTCTTTCTCCTCTGCCTTCTCCACTTCCTCCTCCATCCTAAATTCTATCAGGTACCTTTGGTAGGTCAGAAAAGGCTGCCAAAATGTCCACCACCTCTCCCTGTTTTCTGACACAGGAGTGAAAGCGCAAGCAAGAGAACTTCTTGAAGAGAGGTCTTTATATTGCTCGACAAGCTGCATTGGCAGGCTGTTCAAACTTCCTGTAACATGCAGGGTGGGCAGTAAAGATTTCCCACAGTGAACCATGTTCAAAGGACACCAGCAGCCACCATTTCAGAAGGGCACTAGGAAGTCTGGGATATGGCTGGTGTGACTTGGGTCTGCATAGTAGTGTGGATGCCAGAGCCCCAGTTAGAAAAGTCTTAACGTAGGCTTAAGAATGAGAGTAGACACTCAAGCCCCAGATTCTCCAACACAGGTCAGCTGATTCAAGTCCCAGCTAACCCTGGACTTACATTGCAGTGTACACTTTCACCCTGCAATTTGGCCAATGGGTTTGAAATTTTCTCAACACACATCCATCCCCAGTTTAATAGGCCTAAATGGCCTTTGCCTCAGCATGTTTGAATATATGTTGTTAGTGTTTATTTTAATGTATATTATACATCTGGACACCATCGCTTTAGAAAATTTTCTTTCTGTACTCTGATGTGCAAGAACCAATGGAAACACACAAAAACTTCCCCAGTTTTGTATTGTGCCACTCAATTTAACTGGGCTGTTACTATTCCTATACAAGTCATATGTTGCTCTTCATCATATTTCCTGGATAGCAATTGACATTTTCAATAAAGAAAATGTAAAAAAAGGACAATATGCTAAGTGTGTAACAAATGAAATCTAAACCAACACATGAACTTTAACTAGAGGACATATTTAGGGACACCAGAGAGTCAGAAGAGTCTTTAAGGTTACAATTTCACAAAAAGATGAGAACTCAGCTATAAGCCATCCTTCGTTGATAATTTTTTTAGGGCTACTATTTATTCAAGTTTCACTTTACAGACAATACTAAGAATCCCATGCACTCCAATCTCATTCAAAATCTTTCTGATATAATGCTCATATGAATGTACTGTGGCTTGCAACTTCAATAAAGTCCATTATGATGGTTTTTCTTGCAAAAATATCACCTTAAATCAAGCACTCGGAAATCATGTTACCATGGGCAGCGCTAGTAAATATGATTTCATTTTGTTTGTGAATATTAGTCTAAAACTGAAATGTAATTGTGTGATTTAACTTAAATCTTATCTTAACCCAAATGTAACTTTTATACGGATTTATGCCTAAGAAACATTGGAAATAGTATCTCCAACTGAGGCCCTTGACATACCCAGAGCACTGAAGTATAGGATTTTTTTTACTATGGGGGCTAATCAGGTAAATATTTAAAAGTGGGGAAAACAGCCCCACTGTGTTGACAGCTACCATTGACTGAATGTACATGATACCCACCTGCAGCGATGAAAATGCCTCCTCCTGCTTTGTATAGAATATGGCTGGCAAAGGGAGCTGCACAGATGATGAAGAAGCTGGCCACCAGAACAGTGATCACCCCCAGGAGCATGAGCACAGTCCAGATACCACGATAAACTGGAAACCAGAAAGAGGGAAAGAACACAAAATCCTTAGAACTCAAATACAGTTTTGTAGTAAAGATTTTTTTTGTCTCTTTTCGTTTTTCTTATTATCAAACCAAACAGTCATTCCAGGACTGCTTCCATTGAGTATATATTTTACCATATGGAATGAATTAGTTTTGAACCCTAGATTTTATTTGGTGATCATGAAACATATAATAGAGGGATATGAAACCCTGGAGCTCTGTATTTACACAGTGTATGTATGCTTAATAGGTTCGTTTACTTGACCAAATTTAAGTAGTTTAAAAAATGGGGCACCAAAACGGTAGCCAGGAAACATTTGGATCACTGCTCAACTTGACTGGATACAATTGTTCTACCAAAGTTGAAGGGGGATGAAAAGTAGTAACATATTGATATTCTTAGTGCTGGCCCAATATCACCACTAACAATCTAAGATTCTGTCCTGAATAGTTTTTAAGAAAACCTAATGCAGCAAAAATGGAAAGAAAAATGTAAATGATGTTTCTGAAGAACAACTAAGTGCTTTTAATCAGACCCATTCTGTCAGTAAAGCTCTTTGTACTTTATTAAATTCAAAATGTAAAGTTTCACAGAACCCTGTTAGTCAAGGAAAAGCCACGCTGAATTAATGAATGAAGCTGGTGATAAATGGGCTAAGAGTTTTGTAATACATTGGCCAAAAAAGTGTTTCTAACAATAATTTTTAACTGGTTAATTGCACGTCTCTTAAGCTAAGTCATAATTTGACAAAGGCTAATATAGCAAAATAAATTCCTCTTGTAAATTTAAGAAGGGGTGCACTAATGCAACCTATTAGCCAAATTAGAAGTTGTTACAATTTCTAACTCTGGATCTGAAAAATGCAGAGTTCTGGAAATTCAGTCAGTAAAAATATTTCTACCTAGCTAAGGAAAAGCATGCAAACCAGATAGCATCTAAGAAAAAGTGGTACTACTGTTGTTGGCATGACACAACTAAGCAGCTTTTACATTTGGATTTGTAAACTGAAATTTTCAAATTTACAGCTCTTCAGAAGCAGCCAGTCTGCAGTCACTCAGATTTTGTCTAGACTAGGATTTTAAGGTACATTGTACGATGTTAGTTAACACCATCTAAGTAATATGTTCTAAAAGTCTACAGGCTTTAACTTGACCAGCTTAGCTTGTGTTGAAGAATACACTGCCTTTTAGAATGTGTTAGTTATAATATGTTAACTAATACCTTCTTGTTAACCGAGCTTTAAATATTAATCAGACAAAGCTTCAGAGAGGTAATCATAGAATCATATGGCTCTAGCATCCAGGGGCCAACTCAGGGGTAGAAAGGACTGACCTTCCATTATCTGTCCTAGAGTGGCTATCAGAGCAGATAACTCTATTTTTAGGTTCACATCCAGTGCAAAGGGTTCTTCCCTCACAGATAAACATTGATGGAGATATCTCCTGGGAACTAGGGCCCCAGTTCAGTAAAGCATTTAAGCACATATTTAACATACTTACATGACTTACTTAATGGACAGTGAATCAGGGGTTGAAGGAATAAATCTCTCAAGGCCTTCAGTCTTGGGCCTTTGAAGAAGTGTCATATTGTGATATTCACATGGGTAGTTCAGGAAGTTTCATCACAATCTGCAGGCCATTGGACATTACTTCCCCATTTAAAACCTAAGCTGCTAAACTAGTCTATAACCACCCAACTATTTTGTGTTGATGGCTCAGGAGACTTGAAAGTCACATATAGAAAAGGACATATTGGCAAAAACAGACCTGGCTAAAGCTTTCCTCTGTATCTTTATGGTTGGTCAGAAAAGTCACATGGAATTGTTTCTGTTTTCTGAGTGGACAAGAACACAAGCACCTTCAGCATAAAAATGTTGGTATGTAATCTGAATATTTACTTTCTGGAACTACTCATACAGACAGCTTTGAAATTTGCTTTCTGTGAAAATTCTACTAGCAGACCTTGATTTGCTCAAATGTTCATGGAAAATGAACACAAAGGGAGTACAAATGTAACTAATTCAGATTCATTAAAACCTTCACATGAATAAGGAAAGCTTTCCCAGTTCTAATAATATAACTATCTTATTAGTTATAAACTAATCCTGCTAACATCTACATGTGGCAGGTGGTTTGTGTGTGTATATACATTTGTATATATGGCTCCAGGTTTTTTGTTTAAAATATTTACCTATGACACCTGTAAAAATAATGGCAAACTGCTAATTTAATTGCCAATTTTGCACACTAGAAAGTGAAGTGAAGCAAAGTGGACAGGCAAGAGCATATAACTTTGCAAAACCCCAAATTGGGATTTTTCAAATCCACTATTTATTTGCCAAAAATTATCCTAACCATTGTCTCCTAAAAGGGAAAAAGGAGAAGTCATGGTAAAAGACATGGAGGGAAGCACTACCAGTATTGAAATGCTCAGTTGTCAATGACATTTGTGGTACTAGTCTGGGGAAACACTCTAAAATGGTGTGCCTCCTTCCTGAAGGGCTGCATCCAGAAGGTGGTAACAGGCAACTTCTCTCCTGGCACCAGAGCTCTCAACTGTGGCATTCTATAGGATTCAGACCACTCTCCTAGCTTATTCAGTATTTACAAATGGCATGGCGACAAACTGTGAGTCTCTATGGACTCAAATGCCAACAATTTTTAGATGATACTCAACTGTTTATCTTCACAACATCCATGAAGCCCTCTGTCATTCAGCTATCCCAATGTCCAGCCACGATCAGCATATGGCTGTGAAAGAGTTGGCTGAACTAAACTCTAGAAAGAATTAATTTATTCTGGTAGTCAAAGGGAAATACTTTACAGTGCTTGTCGCTATGTGATGTCTCCACTAGTTAAGGAAGTTTGCCCCCAGACTTTAAGGTAGTCAGAAATCTAGGAGTCCTTCTGTACTGTCCATTGAAACTGGCCTCCCACATAGCATCAGCCACAAAAAATGTATCCGTTCAATCTATCACTAGCTAGGAAACAACATGCCAACTTGGCCAGGTGTCCATGAACTCTTTCATTACTTCCAGACTGGAATATTGCAATTCCATATCTGGTGGCTTGAAATCATCATCCTTTGAAAAGGCTGTAATGGGTCAAAATGGAGCAGCTTGCTGTGTCAGCAACATTACCCCAGTACTTTTCTGCTCCTCTGGGTTCCTATTGAACAATGAGTCAACTTTAGGATCTCAGTATTCATTTTCCATGTCCTTAGGCACTTAGGCCCAGCATAACTAAAGGACTCTCTCATTCTCCAAGATCTCACCAACTCCGCTTTTCAACTGCAGCTGTCTAAGGGTTTGTGTGTGCAGGAGACAGGTCATTCTTGGTGGTGGACCACTGACTTTGAAATACATTCCAATGGGAACTATGGATGACCATGAACCTCACTACCTTCAGATCCAAATGCATATCCCACTTCTTTGACCTTGCTTTCCCACACAGCAACACTTAATCTATTGACATCTCAGGAATAAATACACCAAATCCCACCTAACTCACTCCCCTTGGGGGCAGAATAGGGAGTATCTTTATCTGATTATGTAACACACATTTTTGTCATTATTTTAAACTCTGGAAGATGTTTAGAACCCAAAGCAATGAGGCCTGTCTAAGAACCAAGACTTAAATGTTTCAAAACTTGATTTACATGTAACAATGCCATTTTATTTTAGACTGATTGTGTATAAAGTGAGTACTATGCATTAATGCATTCTTAGCCATCAACATGGGCTACCACAAGTGTCCAAAATGAAAGTACAAAATACTCCCAAATTGCACACGAGTGATATGTAAAAACTTGCCAACCGCCTGGGAAAACTAAGGGCCAAATTATGCAGTCTTTACTCACACTGAATAATATCTTACTCCACAAGTCAAACCACTACTACAGGTCTGTTGCATTTTACGCTGGGGTTACGTTCTGTAGTCAGCGAGTAAAGCGAAAATTGGGTAGTCAAAATTACAGTGAGTGTAATGGCGGGCGGAAACGCCCGCCCTACAGGTACAGTATTACAATTGTTATTTTTCTCTTTTTTGTTTTGTTTTTGCCAACTGTGTAAAGCTGAAATCGTGCATGTTAAATGTGCATAAGATGCGACAGACCTGTACTCCTAAGTTTGCAATACAGCCCATAGAAAGAGACAGTATGTTGTTGTGCTGCCTGAAGTAGCCTGGGATGGGGAGATTATAACTCCCCAAATCACTATCTCTCTATCTCCCTGCTGCTTCGGGGAGTGAGTAAACTGCAACAGGTCTATAAGTGTTGCAGCGTGCACACCTCTACATGCCAGTGTGCTGCTGGGCATGTTGCAGGGAAGGGAGCAGAGTCAAAGCTCTCTCCATGCCCTGCCTCTCCACACCTATGTAAGGAGGGACATAGTAGTTCTGGGGAGACTGCTTGCAAGAGGCGATAGTATTGTGCACCCATGCAAGATATTAAAGGGGAGTCTTACACTCCTTCTACTCCCTTGAGACAGTGCTTAGGATAGGCTATGTTCTGGCTCAAAGTAAGATACTACTCAACTGTAGCCAGGGTGAGAGAATCAGATCCTATGTAAATTAATTTCCCAGATGTACTGAGTTAGCTAACTTCAGTACTGTACTTGTAGTATTTAAGGCATTTCCTACAGTCAAAGTACGAAAGTACAAGGGAATACTGCACATTCTGAGGTAACCCTATCAACAGTATTTATCTTAGATACCACCGCTTCATGGTGCAATAATTTAAAACTGAACAGGTCCATAAATCAGTTCAGCAAACTTTCCCTTCATCTCGACACACAACTTCCCTTGGGAGTGTCAGGCAAGCCTGAAAATATAATAGTGCTTGGAACAAAACAGGAGAACAAGCTGTCTGCTCTGCTCCATTCAGAATAGAGCACAGGAACATTAACATTTTCATGTGTTACCAGTTTTCCAAATTGTTTGGCATGTAATTTTGTCTTTTTATTTGTTTTTCCTGAAGAAGAACATCTTC